TCAACCCAGAATTCCAATGGGTGTCGGAGACTGCGGGAACTGTGGGATAGCTGTGGGATAGCTACCCATAGTGCAATGCGCCGGAAGTCGACACTAGCCTCGTACTGTGGACGCGGTCCACCGACTAGAGCACTTAGAGCATTTTATGTGGGGACACACACAATCGGCTGTATACAACCGATATCTATAAAACCGGCTTCTATAAATTCGAACTAATTTCGTAGTGTAGACATACCCAGAGCAACTTCTTAAATGCTGAACTTACATTTATGCTCAGAATTTCTATTGCATTTGAGTAATGGATGACAATTTTAAAAAAATGTTCTATTGCCTGCAACTTGTGTAAGTGAAGCTAATTGAAAAAGTCTCCCATTTCTTTCCTGTCAAGTGAAAGAATTATAGGCCAAAAATCATTGCTGATTGAACCATGAGCAACTCATCTAAAGTCAGTTGTGGTGTTCTTGCTTATGCCACCACAAAGCCAAAATCATTGGTGGAATGAGGCAGCGTGGATCTAGGATATAGGGCACTGGGAGTCAAAAGACCTGGATGGTATTCCCAGCTCTGCCAGTGACCGGCTGTGACTTCAGAAAAGTCACTTTACTCTCTCTTTCCATTCCTTTTTTGTCTTGACTATTTTGTCTCCCTGTACAAATACAATAGGCCCCCATTAATGGTTGGAGCTCTAGGCACTACTGAAATACATATAATGAAATACATTTTAATAGTGAACTGGCTCAGCTGGTGGGAGGGTTTCCCTCAATTTCTTCAGAGTTAAGGAACTGCTGTGGTGCATGTCCACTGTCAGCTCCCAGGGCAGCTTAGAATGCCCTAGCTCTGCCCACAGGGACTGTTCCTTTTCACTTCCTTCAAAGTCAAGTCAGTGTTTCTACTTCCTTACAGTTTTGTGGATAATGCTGAACCCTGTTCCAGTGCCTGTAGGGGCAACGATTGTGAAGGGTCAGGATTTGTTTTTGGTGGAGGGAATGAAAACCTTGCATACAATCCAGGACTGGTATCTTATTGCAATTTATAATACAGTGAAAAGTTATTTTTAACAACGAGGTTTTCACTGAAACTATTTCCATCTATAGAAGAGAAAGCTATGCCCTTACCTACTCAGACTTCACTCTGCCAGGTTATGAGATGCTGTTAGCAAACCTAATTTGAGACTGAAACTGAGTTAGCTGCAACACTCAGAACAACACTAAATTCTATGTTCCAAGTTAACCACCCTATTGCCTCTATTTACATATGTTCTTGGCAGCCAAGTATTATAAAGGAGGCAATAAATACTGGACTTCATTGGAGGTGGGAGCCCTGCTAGTGCAGTCTTAGAATGGCAGAGCCTGTCCCTGCTAGTTATCGATGGCAAAATTCACACGTTTGTTTCAATCACACTCCAGCTGAAGAACTACACAATTAAAACCAAACAAAACCTGACCCCACAGCACTTCACATCAGTTCCTTTATTGTTGGTTCAAGGAGCAGAAACAGCAAGACCAAAATCACTGGATAAGACCACTATGGCTGTGCAGTTTAGCATTATCGGTCTAAGCAAATATCTGTCCTATTTCAAAGTATTAAAAATATTAGTGTAACCCAGGTTAACATATGAGATATATGCAGAGTGAAATTCTGACCCCACTGAAGTCAGTAAGAAGTTTTTCCATTAACTTCAGTGGAGTTGACTTCATTCCTTGTCTTGAATAAGTACTTGCTCAATTTCCCCCCCAAGAGTAACAGTTGTGTTAGCATCCTTCATAAAAATCTGTTAGATGGCTGCCAAGAGCTATTTGTTTGTTTTTTTTAAATGGGGACACAGCTAGACACAGAAGGAACCAGTCTGGAAAATGAGACAGGGAGAAGGGAAATTTGCAAAAAGCATTTGGAGGTCAGTCAGAAGTCAGTCTTCTTTCGTTTTCCTCTCCCCACGAGATCTTACCACTTGCTGCTAAGCATCCCCAAATATGAGAACCAAATTTCTAGGGGAATATGTACAGAGATGGAGAGATGCATTAAACAAGGTGTTATGTCTAGAGATGGACTCAAGTTAAGGAACCCCGCATTTATTAAGGTATACAGGATACAAGGGGTGCTTTACAGTGAACTATGGAAAATGCCATTTGAAGTCTTATGACTTGGAATAAATATTAAATGATCCTGTTATTTAAAACTCTTGCTTAAATTTGAATAGAGGACTACAAAAAGCTGTTTCAGGCACAAGAGAGAAGGGTGTTTAGGGTTGCACCATGTAATGTACAGCATCTGTACAAGTTTGTTGCTTAGAGTGCAAAAAAAATCCCAAGATAGTAAAATGGAAATAACTTTACTGTGTTAAGGGCTGCATTTTTTCTTTTTAGGGGGAACAAAATCTGCCATAGAACAGAATGTTGCCAGTTTTGTTGTGCCGGATAAAGAAGAGGAAAGGATGGTCAGCAGTGAACCGTGGTACAATCCGTGCACAAAGCATACGGAACACTAATGCAGTAGCAGCTGCTGCCTCCGTGCCTTCTTCGTTGACCTCCACAAAGGACTTGTGAACAACCTCCGACAGAACTAGCTCATTGCTGCCTGACATTCCAGATAAATCCACCTTGTCGCTGTCAAATGCATCAGCCATTCCCATGTTCTTCAGAACAGGCTTCAGATCATAAACTTGCTCCAACTTAAATCTGGGCAAACACACCTCCACTTCAGTATAGTCCATCGTTTCTGGATTTATCCACTCTGTAAGTTTCTCATAAGTAAGTTCTCTTTCCAGCTACAAGAAGAAAAGGTCACAAAATTATAGAGGAAGAAAAGCCATGAATTTATACTAATGAAACAATGCCCACTGTGTGTGTTTACACAGTAGGGATTAGCATCCTCTCCTGGTATGGAATGAATGTTATTGCTATAGTCAGAAACCAAAAATAAATGACAGTCAGAAACATTCTTATTCTTTTTTCAATACAGTCAAAAGGCCCCCCAGTTAGGATCAGAGTTCCGCTGTGTTATATGCAGGTACCGTCCCAAGATCATCCTTCATGGTGACAAGTTAATGCTATTGCATGTTGTCACTAGTAATGACGTGTACTTGGCAGAGGTAGCTACTGTGGGAGAGGCATTACTATTTTGCTGTCCCTTGCCAGCCCAGTAACAGTATAGCACAGAAAGGAAATCAGTAGCTCTTGAATGGAGGAGCACTTGGGGACTCCCATATGAAGAAATGTTAGGTAGAGGGTCGGGTACAGTGAGGGAGAGCCCAACCCACAACAGTTAGAAAGGAATATGGGGGGAGAAATCCATCAAACAGGAATTGATTTTTGTGACAGTGGAAGCTCTCCAGGATCTCCTTCAATCTGTCACTCACTACATTCTGACTTCATCCCAATGCCTAGTCAAGAAGTCTCTCTTTTCAGAACTTAACATTTCTCTGGACATCAGAGAGAGCTGGGCTTACTTGACAGTGACACATGGTATTCCCATCTCTTGGGGGACAGATGTAACGCCTCCACAGCTCTCCCACCCTGTGCTAATACTGGTGAGTTCGGAGCTTGGGACGTGAATTCACAGATCTAAATGAGATTTTGTCAAATGCTCTTCTCTAGCAGGATTTGAGCTTTGTATTCAGAACAAGTGCCTTACCTGTTCCAGGCCAGTGGAATTATCTTGGATTTCATCAGGAAGCAGGATGATCATACTTGTCTCGTTATCAACATAAGGGAGGTCAAGGATTTGGGTCTGAAAATCTGCTACGTAGCTCATGTTAAATTTAGTTTCCTTGAACATCATCTGCACTGGTTTGCTCTCATTCTTTAAAAAACAAAACAAAAAAAGTATCAGTGTCAACAAGTACTACAGAGCCAGCATGTTGGTACTAAACTAGAAGAACTGGGATTCAAATCACATGGGACATCTGCAATTAGGCTGGACAGAGCACTAGAAAATATTGTAGGGAAGGGTCCTACCATTGCCCTTTGGGGTGACAGGGAATGAACCAAAATTCTATCAGGCTTTTCCCATTTGTAATGCCCAGTCCCTTGAGATTTATTTTGAGGAAAACACTACAGGTATTTTAGTTGCTTACTGTGTAGCTTCCTATCAACAAAACTGTTAAAACGCTGGACCTCTGAGCCTAAATAGTTTCACACTAGTAGGCAGGAGATTTCAAACCTCTGAATGTTACATGGCAAATATGGCCACCGCTGCTATTGTCTGTTAATACAGAAAACGAGGGGTTGAGTGAACAGGGGCACAAAGCCAGATTTTCTTAAGGATCTTGCCAGGTCTTAGGAAAGGAGCAGGCAGCAAAAACAAACAGTGATCCTGTGAGTAGTTTAAAGAGAGTGGCTATTAGTAGAAAAAGAGAGTGGCTATTAGTATGCTGGCTTTTGGGAGTGTTCACGGTTGATATCAGAGAGGAGCCTAAAAGCCAGGTAGCATCTGGATTTCTGCATGCTTATCTGAACTCCATTTCTGACAGTTCTTTAGTTCACCAATGACTAGTCAGCGTAAGCAGGCTGGGGATAAAAGAGTGAGTTTTACGGTTTGTTCTGGAAGCGCTGAGATTTGTGATCATTCCTATGTTTTATAAAGTGAATTCCATAGTTGTGGGTCATCTGCCATCTTCCACTCAAGTTTTTGTGACTGACAGTTCTGTAGTTCATAATGAATTCTTTTAAAAGCTTTATTCCCTGTCATGAAGAAAACACAGTCCTCGATTAGCTCAGGCCAGTTTCATAGACAGCTTTGAAGATTAGGGTCAAAACCTTAATATGACCCTGTATTCAATGGGGAGTCAGCATAGTACTGATTCCCCCTCCCCTCCTCAAAGAAGAAAAGGGAGAACTAAGCAACTTCACAAGGTAGGGCTCTCTCTGGGAATGGCCTGGTACGAAAGATTGGCACCAACTCCCCAGTAGGTCTAAGGCAGGACAATAACATTCTATCAAATGCTTCAGAGAGATCCAAGAGTGTGAATGCATGTCTCTTATCCATGGACAAGAGCAGGTCATCCATCACCACTACCTGTACTGTCTATTACCTATCAAAATCTGAAGACCAGATTTGCGGAGGTCCACTATACAGATGGTAAGCGGGTGTATCCACTTGCATTTTCATTACATTATCCACAAATAGGAAGGAGGTTAGACCCCCAAGCAGTAATTAGTAAAGTCCGTGGTTTCCACTCATAGAATCATAGAACTGGAACGGGAAAACTGGGATGCTAGGAAAAGTTGAACAACTTCCTGTATGTGTAGAATCCTGGTTTTCTCACTCTTTGGCCTGCCTTCTGTCCATTGAACCACATTGCCTCCCAAACGTTGTAAGCTGGGACAGATCAATATATGACTAAACAAGAGGAATACTTCAAACAACCAGTTGTCCTCTGGTAGCAGATTTTATTCCATCTGCATCAGCATCTCTGTTTTGGCTCAGATTTGCTAATGCGTTGTTAGATTTGAATAGTTTGATTCAGGGCCAGTGTTTGCTTCTAATCAGAATATAAAGGTGCCCCCAAAATGCTGTTTAGCTGAAATATTTTATGAAGTAGAAAAAGAACTCACAGTACATTGAGGAATTTCAACATTATGGGCCTGATTCTAGAGTAACTGTTGAAATCAATTTAAGTTACATTGGTGTAAAGCTTGTGTAAATAAGAACAGAATCAGACCCATTGCTTTACTTAAGCATAAAATTTCCGTGGGTTTATTTCTGTCTACGTAGTTCTAAAATGCTTATCGTTAATATAATGTACTTTTTTGTAGTTGGCAGAATTTTTCACTCAGAATTTAACACAGCATCATTTTAAATATTGCACAGAATTGCACATAACGCAGAAGTACGTATATGCTTTGATTTTCTTTTCATGTAAATCGGATTAATTTTTAATGCCTGGGTGCCTAAATACCAATATTCATTTCTATTAGTGGAAATGTATACTTGGTTCATAGGCTCATGCTGATGTCTACTCTCTATGTCAGTATTGGAATTAGCACCCCCTGAGTAATTTTTAATGTTAACTAACAATGAAACATGATAATTCAAGATGTAAATTCAGAACATCTGGCAATAAAATAACATTGGTCCATGTTTATTTGGAAAAAAAAATAACATGCTACCAAGCTAAAACACTTCCCTTTAAATTTACAGCATCAGAGGAATATATGTCTACAATACATAGGAAGTATTTGAAAACTGGTTTATTTTCCTAAAACATATAGGTACTAGAATAAGTTTTTGTGAATTCTACTCATGATAGTGGAAGGGTTGGTATTTGTATTGTTCAGTAATCAGGTGGATTAATTTACAGTCCTTTTAAACTAATCTTCTGGTTAAGGCCCTGATCCTGCAAACACTTACTCAAGGGTTTAGTTTTAAGCATGTGAGTAATCCCATTGAATTTACAGAGTTTATACCATACGATTGGTTCTAATGCCTATCTGTTTTCTTAAAACAAACCAGTTTTAAAAATACCTCCTCTGTATTGGGGATATGTATTTCTCTCACAGTGTAAATTTAAAAGGCTGTCTTTTATCTTGGTAGTGTCTGGATTTTTTCCAATCATAGAATCAAAGAACCTAGAAGGGACCTCGAGAGGTCACCCCTGCACTCATGGCAGGACTAATTATCTAGACCATTCCTGACAGGTGTTTGTCTAACTTGCTCTTAAAAATCTCCAATGATGGAGATTCCACAATCTCCCTAGGCAATTTATCCCAGTGCTTAACCACCCTGAGAGTTAGGAATTTTTTCCTAATGACCAACCTAAACCTCCCTTGCTGCAATTTAAGCCCACTGCTTCTTGTCCTAGCCTCAGAGGTTAAGAAAAACAATTTTCTCCCTCCTCCTTGTAACAACCTTTTACATACTTGAAAACTGTTATCATGTCCCCTCTCAGTCTTCTCTTTTCCAGACTAAACAAACCCAATTTTTCAATCTTCCCTCATAGGTCCTGTTTTCTATACCTTTAATCATTTTTTGTTGCTCTTTACTGAACTCTCTACAAATTGTCCACATCCTTCCTGAAATGTGGTGCTCAGAACTGGACACAATACTCCAGTTGAGGCCTAATCAGAGCAGAGTAGAGTGGAAGAATTACTTCTCGTGTCTTGCTTACAACACTCCTGCTAATACATCCCAGAACTATGTTTGCTTTTTTTGCAACAGTATTACACTGTTGACTCATATTTAGCTTGTGGTCCACTATGATCCCCAGATCCCTTTCCACAGTACTCCTTCCTAGGCAGTCATTTTCCATTTAGTGTGCGTGCAACTGATTGCTCCTTTGTAAGTGGAGTATTTTGCATTTGTCCTTATTGAATTTCATCCTATTTACCTCAGACCATTTCTCCAGTTTGTCCAAATCATGGCTTCTGGGGTGCTGCCTGACTATAGCATGTGTTGGGCTGGGCAATAAAATTCTCTCTCTAAAAGATGGCATTGAGAGATAGTAGGACTTCCAGGCACTCCTGAATGACTTTCACCATCCAGGAAGGTATGAGTAAATATACAAGGTGGCTCACATTTCATTCAGTTTCTTGGTATGCTCTTCAGAGTCATGTCACCAGTCCCTGTTTGTGCTAAACCTCTACCCCGATATAACGCTGTCCTCGGGAGCCAAAAAATCTTATTGCGTTATAGGTGAAACTGCGTTATATTGAACTAGCTTTGATCCACTGGAGCACGCAGCCGCGCCCTCCCGGAGCGCTGCTTTACCGCGTTATATCCGAATTTGTGTTATATCGGGTCGCGTTATATTGGGGTAGAGGTGTATGTGGAGACAGCCTCAAGAGGATGCATGAGCTTCCCCAAGAAGGAGGGCTGGCCTATCACCACATTGAGAATTACTTTATTATGCCTTGGGGTACAGTGGATGCACTTTAAGATGAGGAGATTTGCACACTGTGATGTGAGTAGCTAAAAAAAAGAAACCTGATCTAATTTGTGTATCAGTTTAATGGTGGAATCCATTTTAAAGCAAAAGTGATCTTGTTTTGATCAAAGTTTGCTGTAAACAGAAGCGTTCCATGTGTAAAAACATCTGAACACATGCGTGTTCCCTTCTGCTTGTAGACAGTAAGGGCCCAATTCTTCTCACTTATTTTTTATACTATCATACCCCTTGGAGTCCCAGTCATGGACCAAGACCCCACTGTGCTAGAAAGAAGACCGACCCTGTCCCGAAGAGCTTATAGTCTAAGTATAGCTGTTTTAGCTCCACAGACTGCAGTAGATTTGCTCCTGATTTACAATGCTTTGAGGAGAATTAGCAATCACCACACATTTTACAAATCAAACCTTATAACACATGAAGTAGTTGAGCATTTTTCATGTTCTAATTTTATCATTGGGTAAAAACTGAAGCAAAGGGGACCAATTTCTGTAAGTAACCATAATTCTGTGGTAGTTGTGCACACAAAACAGCAACAGATTCGAGGACAGGGATGTTAAATGACTTACAGGTTCTCTAAACACTGAACAATGTATGGAATCCCAAACTGTCTGACACTCATTTATCCACGTTCTTCTCTTACATGTTAAAATTCTGACTATTGTAAGTTCTGTAATTATGTTCAAGGCTACTGTCCTCCACTGCTGAAAAGATACAGAGAGAGGTATAGCAGAAAACAGAGAGAGAATGAAGGAAACAAGGGATACATCCAGGTTAATGCATTTATTTGAAAATGTAGTTTCAAAGATGTTTACAATAAACTAAACAAAGTGTGTTGAGGGGATGGGATGGGAAAGAATAGAGGGTTGTGGTAAAATGTACTTAGGGCAATCCTGATTAAAAGCATTTCTTGTTTTCTTTGGATGAAAGTGTAGTGAAAAATGAGTGACATTTTCCTACTTCATACCTTGTTAATTTTAAATTGCCTTTCCACTGTGCAATCCTTGTTGAATTGGGTTGCCCAGTTGCCTTTGAAGTAGATGGCGTTCACCAAGATTAGTCTGGTCATTGAATCAACAACACCCTGAGCCAACAGATTCTGGATTTTACCTTTAGGACACATTAAAGGAAGCATAGTTTTTAGCTGATATACACCTATCTACCTAGTTGTGTTATTAATTACAGCAGGGGTCCTCAATGCGGTGCCCAAAATTCTTGTATTGTGCAGAAGTTAGAGGCATCCAAGTGCACCCGCCTACTGGCTGCCAGACAAGCAGCCGCCGAAATGCCACCGAGAAGCGGCAACGTCAAGAAGCGCTGCCACCGAATTTTGGCGGCATTTCGGCAGTGACGCCTCTTGATGACGCTGCTTCACGGCGGCATTTCGGCGGCAATACCTCTTGATGTTGCTGCTTCTCGGCGGCATTTAGGCAGCTGCTTGTCTGGCGGCCACGATCCTCAGCGGCTAGTCGTCCGGCACCCGCCCCACAGAAAAGGTTGGGGACCAGTGAACTACAGTATCCTCTAACATCTGCACAGTACAAGAACTACATCTTAATCTGAAGGATTCAGTTCTGTTTTTCTTCTCCTTCTCTTATTGTATCTCTCCTATGGCCATATGCTTTTTAAACAGGCTTTAGCTGTTTAGCGAGACACTGTGGAACTCTGCAAGCTACTCACCTTCAGTTTTTTCTTCTACCCAGGAATTTATGTGTTTTCTGGAATCTTCTGCAGCTCTAGAGAAGTCAAGTTGTTTTAGCTCTGCATGATAGAATTTCTGGCAGGAGTCTATAAATGTCTAGGACAAACAAAAGGAGGATGTCTTAACAATATATTTTTCTGGCGTGCAGTTGTAGAAGACTCAAACATAGAATCTACCTTTTCTTCCTCCATCCCTTCAGAAAGAGTCAGTCTTAACACCAACTTGTCACTTCTTTTCAAACTGAACATTTTATTTTCTATTATTACATTCTTAGTCCGAGCAGCCAGCTTACTGACAGATCAACAACAAGACTGCATGATGAGAGTGATGCAATCAATTTGCTTCAGTTTGAGAGTACAAGTAAATCGGTCTCTAGATAATGTTTTTTATAACCCTCCCAGAGTAACCCGAAACTGATCTAGTTTAGAACTGAAATCTCAGGGGGTTATTTCTATATCTTTTTTGTATAGTATGTGTGGATCATAATAACCTGCTCTTCAGCCTTATGAAAGGTCTACTGTGCAAATGTCAATAGGTCAGTAATTATGTGGCTAGGTCAAAATCATGCTCTCTCTCTTTCCAATTTGTATTTTGAAGTCTTCTATTTTATGGACTAAATGCCAAAGATTCCAAGTTTAAATATTTAATTATAGTGGTTTTAACTTTAATTGAGAAGAGGATCTCTGGATCTGAGCCAATTTATACTGGCAATTCCTTTTAGTAATAAAATAACTGTAGATTGGGGAGGGTAAGGTTGATTGCCATATTGAAAATGTAAGTTTGTTTTTTTGAGTCTAGAACTCAAGTGAGACTTTCAGTTACCTCTTAATTTTCTGAGATGAAAGAAGGGGGTCTGAAAGAGTAAGGTTAAAATCAGGGGTACACTTTTTGGATGCATTTTAAACGGGAAATATATACCCCAGTACCCGTTACTCTCAGCTAAGTCTTTGGAGAATTTCTAATCGCTCTTCTGTCTGATTTTTAAAAAAAATGATGTGCCCCTTGCTGTGTCCTTTGAATGCATTGTCCAATTTAAGGGGAGGGAAGACCCCCCCCCCAAAGTCACACAATAATGCCTATTCCCCTCCCTGCCCACCATTTGAAGGAAATTCTTAAAATCTTAGCTCCCGGCCAAAAATGCCTGAGTGATTAATGGAATGCTGAAGAGTTGGGGTTTGTTGGATCTTCCATTGACAGCACTCCGCTCCAGTTCTCTAGCGTTCAGAGCTAGCGACTGTCAAACAATCAGCTGAGCACACAAATGTTTGGATTTTACAAGGAGACTGGCTTTGGTTAGTCAGGTCCTGAACTACATAGTGCCTGTAGATTAAAGCCAATCCCTTGATTTGCACTCAAAAGTGGAAACGTAGCAAATGTGTTATAACACAAGAACAAACTGAACGTTTGACTTACTGCAAGAAATTTAAACGTCTTTTCCCCATAGAGCCGGTTGGCAATCCTAAGCACATAATTAGTGCCTGGTTTGTTAATTTCAGAAATAAGTGACTGGTATCCATCATGAATCTCTTCAGCTTCGTCCAGAGAAAGCACCTATAGAAAGAGACAGGAATACACTCAGCATGACCCACATGTGCTGAAACATGTGCTTTCGGACATGTTAGTACAATGCCTTTCAGCAGCTTAGAGATGAAAGCTGCAGCCTGAACACCCAAGGCAGCCCTAAAAGGGAAAGGATTTCCCATTACACAACACATTTGGAGCTCATTATGTTAGAAGAGAGACACTGCTGAAAAAACATTTTACCATGGAAATAAACATAGCTGGTTTGAAGAGACCCCTCACTCAGTCCTAGCTTCAGGGCACATAAAATGAACAGTTCTGGAGAGTTTAAAGAAAAACCATCAACTTGAAATCTACTCAGTTTCAAAACATGAATTTAAAGTAGCTTCAGGTCTCAGACTCATCTCTAGAGCCCCAATAGCGATTTTTGTAGCTTTATAGTTACATTTTTTTAATTTGTTTCATTGTACGGAAGAGCATGACAAACAGGGAAAGTGTCTCTATTATGGAACAAAGAGTGAAACACAAAGTGCTGTCAAATGCACAAGTATACAAACTGGGGGGAAATGTCCCTTATTTTTCCCTCATCTTAACTGTTACTTGCAACACTAAGAGGTTAAAAAAAATTTCAGACAAGGTATGATTTATGTTGACGGTATCCCTTTCAACTGTCCTTTCCCCAAAGCTTCCAGCAATGTTTTGGAACTATGCCTTCAATTCAAGCACACCCATAGTATGCTGCTGCCTTTGTCCCTTTGTAACAGTGCCTCCATTTTGCCTTCCATAATGAATTATTTGTTGCATCATTTCATATTTGCATTGTTCCATTCCCCATTCTTTTCCTTCTTCTACTTTACTAAAATGAAGCACCTGATAGTACAATAGTTAGCATTCTATTGTACTAGAAGGTTCTTTTGGGAGTACATTCAAGAACACATCTGGTTCTTTTTTCAGCTAAATGTTAGTGAAATGAAGAAATGTTATGGAATGACCTAGTGCTCCAGTACATTAGTCATTGCTTTAATATGAGCAAGATTTATTTAATAGAGATCAAGAATGGCTCTTCTAGTATGAAACACTGTAGTGAAGTAAGACACCCTGAAAAGCCCTTTATAAGGGAAAACTTTAGCTCTACAGTGCTTTACTGCATGTGGGCAGGCAAATGATCAAATCAACAAAATAGCCCAAGACCTCAGAGGCTTCCCAAACCAACAGGGGAGATGGGCAGCTCATCGAAGGAAGTGTCTCCATAGGACACAAATGGGCCCAATTCAACCAAATGCAGTCTGGGATAACTCTGTGGGACATCCATGGTAAGTCTCCAGGCTAAATTCACTGATATCAGGTCTCGTAGGTCAATGGTTTTAAAATCAAGATCAGGCCATATTCTGCTTTCATTTACCTAGATGTAAATCTGACACAGTTTCATTGAAGTCTAATAGTTACTCCAGTTTTATACCAATGTAACAGCAGAATTTGTCTCAATGTTTAAATAAACATAACTAGTACTAAAGTTTAAACTTCATCCTCAGTTTGAGTTCAGGTGACACATTGATTAAGATAGTATTTAAAAAAAAAATCAACCTCCCAAATGTTGGATTTGCTTAAGAGTAATAACTGCTATAAAATGCCATGCTATGAATTCCATAACTACTGCAGAGCTGTTGTACTGGTTGATATTTTGACCAAGAGATTTTACTGACACACAACAAGAGAATGTTCACACCCACTAGTACATGTAATTTTTAGCTACGTCTGCTCGTATGGTAGTTAATCATTCTAAACAAAAGACATATACATCCCAATTCTAAAAGTCCTTACAAATTATAAGGAATCGGTTTCAACTCTACCCTATTTGATTGTTGAAGCTGCAAGTTTAGACAACTCTTCACCTCCCCTAAGCCAAATATTGTACAAGGCTCTAAGTGGACAGCTATAAATCTAGTTTTGAAATTTGTAATTCTCACCCCAGGAAACCAAGCAGACTACACTAAAAACCCACAAGCTAAGAGAACCTAAATGGGTATGTAACTGCAACACAGAAGTCCTTCTTTGCAGACAGATCTCAGGGCCTCAACTCCACCCTCATTTTCCCTGACTCCTGCCAATTTTGCCACTATTGATCACTCTCCTTTTCTAAATCTTGTTCTCCCTTCACATTTGTGACTCTGTCTCCTGGGTCTCCTCTTAGGTCTTTGCTTGACCTTTCAGTGGGACCTCAGGGCTCCATACTTGGCACCCAACTCTTCTTTCCTAGGCCCTTTTTCTCTCTAGAGGTTCTGAGTGCTCATTGGAGCAGGAGTTGACATTAAGAGTTTAATGAACTAGGCCTACATTTTCAAAAGACTAGTGATTTTTTTGGTTGCCCAACTTGACACCTTAAAGGGGGCCTGATTTTAAGAAAATGCTTCTGGCTATGTTTTAAAGTCATATTTAGGTGATTAGTATAATCTGATATTAATCCCAGAGAATGTAATTGAAGAAATTCTTTTCTAACTCTTGAGGCAGCTAGACAGCTCTCTCTTTTTCAAGGCACCTCAGCTGTATGGTGCCACCAAAATTCTACTCTCAGGCACACAAGGATGCTAATGGGAGTTTTCCATAGGTACAGAACATACATTAGAGATCTGTGGTTCAGCTTCTAGACCAAGATTGTCTTAAGTGGTTCAAGTTTATCCAGACATACCTTTGCCATCTGTGCTGCAGTGTTACCTTTTGCACCCAAAAAAACCATGGACAAAGCAGAGGAGATACTCAAAGGAGAAAAGAATAAGTTCTGTGTATTGGCATTTTCACTCAGCTTTTTGAATAGGTTGAGTGCAAAGGTGGTGTTTGCTTTACTGAGGTTATCCATGGTTCAGAACCTATAAGACAAAACACAAAGGAAAGATCATATAAGATACAGATTTAAAATGTAATGAGTATTTAATGTGCCAGATTCTCAGCTGGTATAAAGCACCATAACTCCACTGAAGTCAGTGGAACTACTGGTTTTACACCACCTCAGGATATAGCAAAGCATCAAATAAGTTTAAGGATCATGTGTTCTCTCTCTCTCTCTCTCTCAAAATCCGAGTTTATATAAGAGCCTTCAGATAACAAGTGGGACAAACTCACACAAATTGCAAAGTTTTCCAATTCCTTAAGATTCGTGTTGAGTTTCAATAGCATTACACTGTTTTTCAGAAATTCAGTACCTATCTACCAACAAATATAAATTGTATTCATGAGACTAGACAGTCTAGTCTAGTCACATGAATACAATTTATATTTCATATAATATGTTTTATATTTAATGGTCATTATTGGAGACATGTTGTTTAAGTCACAGCTGTGCAATACTTAATGCCTCAAATTTACTTTAATCCAATCTGTAGTACATAATTACTGTATTTGAATTTATATTAGATTCTCTGGTGTAAAATAGTCACTGCACGTACTTTATGATCTGGGTTGTTAACTTTCTTTGTCAACCAAACTGATTTTGGGTGTAAAGTTCTATAAACACCTGCCTTATTCACTCATTTGCAGTAAATCCACATATTACTTCCTGCTGCTTTCTAGGATAGTGCTTATCTTCTATTTCAAAGAAGAGTTATGGAGAGCGGATCCTGTGACTATATTTTCTAGAGGGGTGGAGTGCCACTTCTGCAGAGATAGGGAGATTGAAGCAAAATGGGAAGAGATATAGGAAAATATAAAGAGAGGGTGAGCAAAACACAAGTAAGACGAGAGCTCTTTATTGCAGTCTTCTCTCTTTAATGTTTCATCCCTTTCTTTTGTTTCAGTATTTTTAAACTTCCTTTGCTCTTCCCTTCCTGACACCTCAATTAGAGGGCAATTGTTCAGCACTGGTTTTGTTTTATACTCTCAGCCCATCTATTCCTATCTGCTAGGGACCAACAGGAGATTCTGCTTCCAGCATTTCTCATTCAAGCAATTGGGAGACTGACAGCAATCATGACAAGAGAGTATTATCCTTAATTCACATTGTAGTATGACAGAACCTTTGGGATTAAAGGAAGTCTAATGAAGATGAATAGTAGACATATGTGCCCATCCAAGAACACATATTAATAATAAAACGAACCAGCGTTGCCATCTAATGACTGTTCTGTAGCTTATACGAAGCAAATTTGGTTGTCTTCGTCCAATACCCCATGAAAAAGAGTCCGCATTGCAGTCTCTTTATTAATCTCCGTAACAAAATGACTGCCGCCCGGTAGTCACTCATTGTAAATACACTTGTGCATAAAGAAATTACTGGAAAGCTCCCAATTAGAGCTGACTGATATCTTTTGTATTTTTAGAACCTATGACCAGCAGGCAATACTAATTGAAATTAATAGTGTGGGGGATTGATTTGATTATTGATATGGCAATAAAAAGCTAGAACAAAACTGCAGAGTCCCTACAAAACTGTCAAGGCAACTTTCTAATAACAGTATTCTAAAAGAATATTCAGCTATTTAGGGTATTTCGCAAGTGCACAATTTCAGCGCAGTAGCAAAGAAATCATTATTGTAGAAGGATGGACTGTTTATTACAGAGCTATTTTGGAATGCGGGACACCCAGTATCAACTCCCTGCTCTACTACAGACTTCCTGTTTGGCCTTGGGCAAGACACATAGGCTATGTCTACACTGCAATGAAAGACCTGAGGCACAGATATGGCTAGTTTGGGTCAGCTGGGCTATAAAACTGCAGTGTAAAATTCAGGCTCAAGTTGGAGCCGAGGCACTGAGACCCCATGAGAAGGGAAGGTCACAGTGCCCAGACTCCATCCCATTGTGCCATTGAATCTAAAAAAAGAAAGAGAGGAGAGGAATTACTCTTGGTCCTCATGACATCCAGTGATTACAAATTGGTTCCTGTTGCAGTGTTACCAGAAACTCAAATCAGATCAAAGTCTGATTCAGTCCATGTTTGGTTACCCTAAGTACCACTGCGATATGAGACACTTGTGCACTGTAAAGCTTAGACTGAATTTAAAAAAGAATCCACAGAGAATTTTACACCACACACACAGGTAAACACTTGCACTTCTCTTGTGCAGATGTCATACATGTTTTAGAGTTTTAATTCCTGCAGAGTTTTTTGTTTGTTTTTTGCATTTTGTACTTTTTTGGCTCAATTAAAACACCTTGAAATTAAATTGCAAGCTGATTTAAATTAAATGTATTATATTACAGAAAAAAGCACAGACTCAGTACTGTCATTTGTTCTTTGTCCTCCTTGACCCCAAATCTAGGAGACACAGGACAGCAAAATATAAATCTGGTAGCTTCTAAATACTTCTGCAAGACTGATCTGTCTTGATCATGCGGTCTTATTATCGAAGACAGAAGTTTATCAAAACCCTAAAACAGATAATCGATGTACCAAGGATCAAAGGGGTAGCCGTGTTAGTCTGGATCTGTAAAAGCAGCAAGGAGTCCTGTGGCACCTTATAGACTAACAGACGTATAGGAGGATGAGCTTTCGTGGGTGAATACCCACTTCTTCGGATGCACTCACTCTGGTTCCAACGTAGTGCTACTACCTTGGAAATAGCAGGAATACATTTTGACTCTGTTTGACTTAGAATATTAATTGACCATCTGGAATAAAGCTCTTTAACGCAGTTTGAGGGCAATGTTACCAAGTAAATGAATCATCTACCCTTTTCCATTTTACAATCCTATTAGGAAAACAAACACTCTTCTCTCTCTCTCTCTCCCTTAAAGGAATGCATTTCTCTGCGGTATACAGGTCTAGGTATACCACAGTCCATACTATTAGGCCTAGCCAACCAGATTCCTTTCATGACCATGATACTGGAGCTGCTTTTTTAGTTTCCCGAACACAGTGGAGTCTGTATGTGTGCTGGTATAAATTGCTACATGTCAGAGGGAATAAAACTTCTGCGATCTTATAAAACAGCATTGCTTGTATTTCCCCTTTGCTCTGTGCTGTGTAGGGTAACTCCCTGCATTACAATGCGAGTTTCCATGCCAAAACAGACAATTCTTTTGGAATTTAGAAAAATTTCTAGATCTATGGTCAACACAGTCCAAGTAAGAAACAATCCTGCAATCCTGACAGCTGCCACAAGCTTTATAGTCTTACAAATCTGCAGTGTATTTTTCCTCTAGTTACTAAAGCCGAAATAGGGAAGAGTGTCAAAATTAGGGGGAAAAAATCAATTTGATAACTGCTAATCTATACATGAGAATAAGAGCTACCTTTTCTAGAATTGATATTACATTTAAAAACTATCACAGAGATATTAAGAGGCTATAATGCTAAAAGAGCACTTCATTTCATATTGTTCATTCGTACTCCATAACTTTCTGCTTGATTCAACTGTTAAATACAGTATTTAAACAGAGATGGACAACATGATACACAAGTGTCAGGTAGTGGTGTGTATCATGTTGTCCATCTCTGTTTAAATACTGTATTTAACATATACCTAGTCAAGAAATCCAGTTGAATCACGCAAAAAGTTATGGAGTAGGAATGGGAAACTAGGAGATGTGAGGGATTTGTTTATCAAAGGGCTTGCTCCCCTTCCAAACTGCATTATGTTCAAGCTTCTTGTTCTTGACTTCAAGGTCCTGCATAACTGGTCTACCTTCTTTGGCTGTCCATGCCTCATTTTGCATTCCAATGTTCAACCCCATGTTCAAACTACCCCGTTCCCTCCACTCTACCACTGCTAGCAAACATCAAGTTGGTATAGGACTCAGATTTTAAGAATCACAGTGGTCTCTCATGACCATCTGCATAACCCTAAGAGCTTCACTCTCCTTATGAGTATGTGAAGATACTTCACACATGCTCATTAAGGCAACATCAACCCCCTAACTTGTGGGGGAACTACAGCATATCTTTTGGAAATACAGCCAATCTTAATTTAAAAGTGTGAAGTGATTGAGAAGCCATCAAGTCTTTTGGTAGATTATTCCAATGATTAATTATCCTGCCTGTTCAAAATTTGCACTTTACTTTCCATTTGATTTTGTCAAGCTTCAACTTCCAGCTATAGGATCTCGTCATGTTTCTGTCTGCTAGATTAAAGAACCTCTTCTACCAAATATCTTCTTTCCATGTTGGCACTTCTCCCATGCATGAAACACTCTTCCTGAACTAGTCTGCAAAGCAACTTCAGTCCCCCTATTTAAATCTTTCCTGAGGGCCTACTTCATATGTGACACCTACAAGACAGCTAATTGATTACTTATTTGTTTTAAGGTTTGGCACAGGACCCATAACTTCACTATGTAAGGGTTAACGGTAGCTGGAAATCATCTATTTCTCACACAAAAAAGAGCAAGGGAACAAAATGACATTGTATTATTAAAACCTTTTGTTAACAAGACACAAACAATTGCAACTTTTTTATTTTGTTATAACCTTCACAGAGAAGGGATCACCCCTTTTTAATGACCGGAAATTGCCGAGGATATTTGCTGGATATAACAATGTTGCTGGAAACAAATAATAAACACTTTAAATCTTTTTTTTTTTGAATGAATGAATGAATGTCAAAAAACTATTCTGCACTCTCTGAATACTGTGAATAGTTTGAGTTTTTAAAATTCATCTCTCAAGTTTAAAAAATTGTGTATGCATATCTCTCTCCCCTTGTGTGGGAGCATAATGGGAGCAAAGGCAAAAGCAGTATTTAACAAGCTGTAATGTTTTTGTAGATACAGGCAATCCTAGGACCTGTGACACAATTGGTTCCTTACAATTGCATCATACATTGTAACATCGTAACTCGTAACTGCAATCTACTCCACTGCGGGACTGAGCAGCGTAAACTCAAAACCTATAATCGTAAGTCGAATCAGGGCGTCAATGTAGAACTGTCATAGGTGCTGTTCGTCGTAACTCGAACGTTGTAAAGTCGAG